CATCTCATTGGCTTTTCTCTCCCTCTACGTATATATATACAATTACATAGGACACCCCTCATATATTTTGACACATTATGGAAATTTGGGTTTTGATCCAAAGTCTCGTGTTCTTGATCTGTAACATTTAACTTTTTTAATACAGTACTTTAGTTATTAAAACCGGGAAAAAATTCTAAGATACATTTTTAAACGATAAGCTTGCTTTTTTTTCATCCAATATACTTGTTTTTTATGCAAGAAAAAATGTCTCTCATTAACTGCTTTTAATTGCAAAAGATATTTTGAACCTGTTACAGCAATATCCATGAAATTTATTTAGTAAATAACTTCCAAGGGTAAAAAATAATTTTTAACGATACAACTTTTTAAAATCGGATAGTTAAAAATATATTCAACCAATTTTATAAATATTTTGAATTTTTCATTTAAAATAACGTATTTTAAAATGATGTGAAGTTTGTATACCTTACAACCCCAAATTATTTCGACTATTTTAAAATAAAATACTGAGAAATAATAAATTACTACAAATATTTAATTTTTCATGGAATTATCTTTTTAAATGCAAATTATCAAAAAATATTTAATCATAATCATCAATGGCTTTACAGCTGAGGGTGGGCCTTGGCCTTCTCAAGAAGTTTTTTTCCAGGCTAACCTTTTTCATGCAAGCGTTTTCCAGCTTTTAGTTTTTAAGACCAAAAAGTCTTTTTTTAGGTCATCTACCCATCTCAAATTCGGCCTGCATCTTTTTCGTGTGCCAACTGGTCTGGCAATGAAAACTATTTTTGTGGGACGATTTTTATCCATTTTGATAACGTAGCCTACCCAATTTATTCTTCGTCGTTAAATAAAGCTAATAATATCAGATTCATTATATGAGTGATAAAGCTCTAAATTTGTTCTTCGAAGCCACGCACCATTTTTTGTTGTTGAATTCCTCCAAAAATACTTCTCAAGATCTTACTTTCAAAGGTACGTAACATAACCTCATCCATACAAGATATGATCCAGCTTTCACAAGCATATGCTAAAATTGTTCTTAAAAGATATTTATATAATAAAACGATTTACGATTATATTTCGATTTACATTAGATTTTATGTATTTTCGAATTCCTTTAAAACATCTATTGGCTATAGTGAATCTCCTTGGTATTTCCATTGTAGTATGGTTCCAGTTGTTGATTACGGAACCCAAGTAAACGAAATTGTCCACAACTTCAAATTTATATTCTTCAATTTTTCAGTGGGTGTTGTTGAAGATTGTTTTAAGTACAGGGCAAATATTTATTTTGTTCTTGTTTATTCTCAGGCCCATCTTAAAAGCCACTTCCTCTAAAGAAATAAAAGCCTATCTTTGTGCTATAGGTGTTCCAGCAATAATGTCTATGTCATCAGCAAAGGTCAACAGTTTTACTGATTTATTAAAAATATTCCCTCTGGTGGAATCTCTTATTGCTTTTCGAATGCTAAATTGAAGAGAAGGCATGCCAATGCATTCCCCTGCCGCACACCATTATTTATTATCATCGGTCTTGACAGATTATTCTGTATTTTGACCCTAGTTTTGGTTTCATTTAGAGTCAGACATATCAACTAAGATAACTTTTTAGGCACATTTAATTCGCTCAAGGCTGCAAAGAGGGCTTTTCTATTGATGCTATCTTAGGCAGCCTTAATATCAATGAAAAGGGAGTGTATATCTATTCCCAAAACATTTCACTTCACCTAAATTTTTTTTGAGATGAAAAGAGATACTCAAAACGTGAAAATAAACATTAAGGGATTTCACTAATCTCCAGTTTAAATTATTGAGACAATATTTTAAAAGTATAGTTAAAACTATCATAATATATTAAAATTATTATATTATTATATAGTAAATCTCTATGGGAATGACCAAAAGCTTCGTGATTTTTACCTAACCGCTTTGGCAAAGAATTGGGTAAAATTGAAAATAAAATATGTTTTTATAAATGTAGTTAAATTTGGTAATTTTATCTTCATGTCTTAGATCCGGGCATAAGAAACCAT